GAAATGATATGAAGTTAGTTGGCAAATAATTATTTTATCATATCTTTATATTATTAAACAAATTGATGAGGATAGAGTAGGTAAAAGAGGACAAATTGTTGGGTGGATTAGATTAATAATAATGACATTGTCTGGAACCTTATCGTTACCCTCACCACTCAAAATTCCAGCATGTACAACAGCTTCATAAGGAACAACTTCATCGGGGTTAACTTGGATCCTTCTCTACTACCTGAATCAAGATTCGAGTTTGGGAAGCATTGATTTCATTGAAGATGAACCTGTTCTACTGTCACAAGTCAAGGTTAGACAAGAATATGAGATTGACCTCACTACTTTTACTGGGCTATACCGATATCGATTAGGGGATGTGGTGGAAGTGAGCGGATTTCACAACAGGACATCAAAGCAGAATTTTATATGCAGGAAGAAGCTAATATGGGCTGTTAACATCGACAAAAACACCGAAAAGAACCTTCAGTTAGTGGTCGAGAGAGGGTCCGAGCTGTTAAGCAATCACCAAGCCGAGTTCGTCGATTTCAAGAGCAGTGCTGAAGTCATGCGTAAACCGGAACAGTAACGAACGTTTTTAATAGTTGACCCAAGATAAGCCTCGTCAATCTCTTTAATCTTCGTCAGGACCATGGAGCAGAAAAAGGTTGAAGAAGATGCAAAGAAATGAGATGAATCTAAAGGAGAATCTGCTCAATAACCTCAAGAGGTTATCTTGAAAGTTTACATGCACGGTGAAGCTTGTGCTTAAGAGATCAAGAAACATATCAAAAGAATGAAAGGAAGGTGTTGTTCAGACCTCGTGTGGCGTTGGATCTGGATCAGGCACGAGACAAAACGGTGAGATAAGGAATTGAATCAGACTCGCGGAACGATTGACGGACATATTCGTTGATGAAAATGACGTGGATTTGTTGCTTCAATAGAGCGATAGAGATTATAGGGTTCTTCAATGGTTACAAGCTTTAGATATGCAATTAATCGGCGATTGTTGAACTGATGAGAGGCTAAAACCTTTGTTGAAAGTCAACGTATCAAACGGCATCGCCGAGGATCGATTATTAGCTCATTTGAGTCGGTGCTTTGAGCCATCGGAAATTGGTATACTGGGGAGGTATTCTTGCATTCCATTGGTTTCAGTTTGAGTATGTGATAAAATGAGGAAGGCGAAATTACTAGGTTAGTCATCCAAGTTTGTTAAAAAAAAACTTAATCTTGTCTTTTAGCTTTCATATTATTATGATTATGACATAATGGTTTAAATAAGAATAATTTAGTCCATGGTGTTAGTAATTAAATATTATTGGCTCTTCAAGTTTTTAGTTTTGCAAATTGAGTCCCCAAATTATTAATTAGATTCTAATAATTTATTTTTATGGAAAGGAAAATTATTTGAAGTCGTATTTGTACGGTGGATGGTCCGTGTTCATGAGAAAAAGATGGAAGTTAGAAAGCAAGTTGGTGAGATTAAATTTAAGAGTCATATTTTGGGTTTTGTTGACGTCCTAAATCTGAATATGAAGTTTGTTTCGTCAAATTCGAACTCGGTAAGCTGTTTTTGAGTTATTTATCACCCGATTCGATCCGTTTTTCAGAATTAAGCTCCGTTTTTTTTTTGTAATTTCTGTTGATATGCATCTGAGGAATTATTGGAAGTTGATTTCAAGATCGAGGACATTCAAATGGAAATTAATGGTCGATCAGTATGGCACGAGAATCGAGGTAATACTTTACTACCTCTTTATGCTTTATGGAACATGTTGATATTGGTAAATGCATGAATAAGATAACGTTGGTCACTTTTGTGGAGTTGAATAATTTATTCACTTGATATGAATGTGGTAGAAATTCTGTAACTGAATACGGATCGAATGACTAATATAAGAGATTGAGGAATTGTTAGAATTAAATTACAAGTTTGTGATAAGTGATAAAGAAATCAGCCCTGGATTTGTAACTTATATTTTATATCATCAAAGGTTAAATGTTAAAGGTACTTATATAAGAAATTATGAGAATATTTCGATTATGTAAAATTACGAAATTACCCTTATGTTAGAAATGACAAGAATTGTCCTTGGAAGTGGATTAGTAAATCTGAAAAGACATATTGATCTGATAAATTTATTGATGTGCATAAGAAATGTTAGTTTTACTTGGAAATTATGGATAACCGGTTTTTAACCTCAATAGGGATTTTGCAAGATACTAGAAGTCTGTTAAGGAATCATTTCAAGATCAGAGAATGTTCGAGAAAACAACTAACCATAGGATCTTTAAATTATAAGTATGCTCGTTAAGAGTTAATACCGAAATCATCTAGTTAAAAAATTACGAAAATGCCCTTGAAAGGTAAAAATAGCTCGAGTTGACCCTGAATGAGAAAGTTCTTGGAGGATTTGTACTTAACTCAATGAATTACGTATTTAATTGTTAAGATCCTATTTGTACATAAAATTTCTGATAACCTATTGGTAACATCTGAGAAGATAATCGATCTGAAAATCTTCGAGTTAAGAATAAATTATCGAGGGTGCTCTTTTGTAAGAATTATTTGAAAGGTCTAAAATAAATGATAAGTTGGAATTAAATAATAAGACAGAATTGAAGGAAAGAATTGAAATACACCGGATCTGTAAAATGATCAGAATACCCCTGTAATGAAAAAGACTCAAGAATATTACCAAGCTCAGGAATGATTGGATATCCTCGAGCTATGAAAAGAATGGAATAAAACTGGGCACCAGAATGACCAAAATACCCTTATGACCTAAAATTAATAGAAGTGTTGGATTAATTAAGGAATCCAAATAAACATGGATATGGTACTGCTCTTAAAAGTTATGGATCACATATTAAGCCGAGCAATCAATTCTAGTGTATATGTCAGTACATGAAATGTATAGATGTTACTTGAATGCGTGTTCGTCTTCTCAAGTGTGGTTCAATGATAATTTTGAAAGTACTCAGCTCAACTCAACTCTAGGTCGCATTCGATAATAAGAAATGAATATTTGTTAGACAAATCAACCTCGAAGACCAAATTAAATTAAACGGAAGTACAATATATATGAAATTCAGAAACGTCTGGATTATCTGGAAAGCTCTGAAGTAATCGGGATAGACTTGACTGATAAACGAACTGAGTAACCTCAATGACTGAGGATTAAATAGGTGATTTGATGAGTTTGGGAACACTGTTGAACTTACATGATGAATTATCCTTATGGGTCATAAAACATGAATCAAGTACGTATGTATTTCCTGATATCGTTGAAATATGGAAATGAAATAAAGACTATTGGAAGATCTATTCAGCGATGATTACGAACATGATTTATGGACAAGAATTTTGGTATTAAAGAGTAAATACTCTGAAAATGCAGTAAATTGACGGGTCAACATGCATTAGTTCAGAGAGCTTGTTCAGTTCGAATTGTTCGATAAACCGATCAATTAACATGGATTGTAAATATCTTGAAGCTTCGTTTCTCCTTTATTAGCTCAAATCACTCTGGGCATTCTGGAACGCTTTCCTGATGCACATGAATCATAGTGGAATTCTAAAGTATCAACTTTAAATGTCTGATTAGATCGGTTAATAATCGATTCTCTCCAATAGGACCTTGTTCTTAGAATCCGATCAAATTGCACGAGCTTCATGTTATCCTTACCGATAATTACAAAATGCCTCTGAAAAAATACTTGGATCCTCTAGCGTGTTCCCTAATTATTACTGAACTGTTTTATTGGTTTTAATATGAGGTACACTGAGTTCTTTGGTTACTGTTTTATTGATGCACCAATTTAATGTGATGATTTATGGAATTTGTGTCATGGTGCAATTGAACTTTTGGATTGAATTACAATAGTATAGCTCTGATCCAGCTAATAAACAAAATGGGCCTAATGTGACTCTTGGAGCCCCAAGATACATTAGGTTGGCTTCCCTTGCTGTGTGCTTAGGGTAAGCTATATGGACTTGGACTTACGGGCTTAAGGATACAAGCTATAAAGCTTATCCTTAGGTTGGCTTTCTTTTTGCTGTGTGCTTAGAGTAAGCTATATAAAAAATAGTTTTGGAAATTACTGATGGTGTACAAGAAAAAAGTTTAAACTATGATTTTCAAAAGTTAAATTTCATTATGATTTTATGAGATTTACTGAACTATCATTTGATAAGTATACCTATTATGATTTTATTATACTGTTGGAACACACTAGACATCCTATTCGATCTCCTGAAATTGTCATACTTTGAAAGGTTTCTTATGAACTGAGATTCATGGCTTCTACTCGATGAACTTCTAAGGGAACCCCAAATTATTCTACAAACTGGTATACGTATGATTCAATAAGGAAATTATATGACTTTCAATTTATCTACATGTCATGTAGCATCATCTGGTAGTTCTGTATTACTGAGCTTTCCGAAGCTCACTCTATTACTCAACATTGCAGGTTAAAAGAATTGTATCAGTGCAGCTATCGACATCAGTAAGGTAGTTCTTCCGGCATTGCTTGCAGAGAATGGTACATGTGATTAGGGGGCATGTGAATTGTATTTTGTTTTATATTTGAGTTTGAAAAACTTATTTTATTTCTGAATAATAATAAATCATTTATGATTTTACATGTTTTAAGAAAAGTTTTAAATTTTCTGCTATTTTTACAGTGGGTCGCTCCGGTGGCCCTAATATGACACTCCAGATCAGATCGGGCTATCCGCATCGGTCTGAGGGGGTTACAAAGATCATTTAACCTATCAAGCTCAGCATATGATGAGTTCCTAAATTCTGTGGATTTCAAGTTAAGAGTAGTCGGTAGTTCTAGATGTATGACTTGCTACACATGACATAGGGAATGTCTTCTTGACTTGGTCATTAACCCTACTGTCCTGAATTAAAAAACATACTTCATTGTCATTTACTTTATTGAAAATTTGTCATAATCTGTATTAAATTGGGTTTATCAAATTTTTTTTGAAGGGACTTACCACAGCCCAAATTTCATTTGCACGCAACTACAGTGGTCCATTGTTGTATCGCTGGAGGAGAGAAACAAATTACCCTTCATCAGGTATTTCCTTTTTCTACTTAAGAACCATGTAACGTTTTTGTAGCCTAACAAACTTCGTTTGGTTTCTTTCCCGCCTTTACTTATCAGAGGATGCATCAGAGGGAGCAATTGTTCGACGGGGACTCTTTAAGGTGACTTCAGCTGAACTCAGTCCCAAGGTTTATCTGCAATATATTGAAAAGTTTAGCTCATCTGTTTTAAGAAGCTATGCATCCTATTCGGTACATTGTTCTGCTGTTGTGCAATAGCATGCATCTTTTTTACTGATAAACAGCCTCTACTTGAAAACAGTTTAACAGTTGGGAATTGTTGCATATATGGGCATGTCTGTATCTTCCTATCTGTTATGATCTACTGCAGTGAAATTTATCCATATCGATAAATGTCTGCGAAGTTTGCCACCATTTGTTAGGAATCATCTAAATGCTGCATCAACAAAATTATATAACATATAATGTCATCAACTGTTACATTTTAACATCACGCTGTGCAAGTTATAATTCTGCTAAAGGGCTATATTCTAAATGATTCCACTAAAGGTTTTGGTTTCATATTTTTGGTTTGTTACAAGTGATCATCTTGTATTTGATTATGCATTTAATTTGCTTGTTACGACAGCTGCATTTTCTAATTTCAAATATATTTTTCATGTTAGACGTCATTGTTTTTTTGTTAAGTTTATCCTGGATTGTTATCCATGAGAAAGTTTTGGCTTATGTTTCCTCATTGTAGCCTACGAAGTTGCTTCTACCCAACTGTCTTCTATGACTATATTATCTCTGTTTTTCAGATGCAGAATGATAAGGATTGAACTTATTAATTTATCTTTTAGGCAATGGCTTTGTAACCATTGCCATTATTTTCTCTCATTCAGGGACTCACGGACTTCATGTTTAACCCGATTACCGGAGGTACAACGAGTCCAACATCTCAAAACCCTACAGTTAGTGCAGTTCTCCCATCTCTACAAAGCATTTTGCAACAGAACACAATGCAAAGGGTACGTTTGTGTTTGTATGTGCTATCTCATCTCATTGAGATCGCCTGTAAAACAAGTTCTTATTTTTATGATTGCCAACAGGAAGAAATCATTAGACTAATCAAACTTTTGGAGCAAAGTTCTGGTAAACCTCTATACTGCTTTTTTTTCTGCGTAATCGTAGAAGAAATATACAATGTTAAATATGGCTTGTGTTACTTATACAAGTAAGCTTGGGGGTTTGACGGAGTCGGGCATCAATGTCCTTTTGCAGGTATCAACCGTAACTTATCCATAACCAAAAGATCTTTCTTAATGGGATATTCCATGGTGTCAGTTACTCTCTTCACATATGCTTCCTTATAACATGATTTCCGGCTTATGCCGATGTGCAGATAGCACCTTCCTCTTCAAGGGAGAGAGAACTACAATTCCAGGTGCTTCAGTTGCAACAGAGGTACGAGGCGGAGCAAAAAATGTTGTGGACTTGCTTTCTTTATCATACACATTTTACTGAAACTTTATTTGTGTTGTCAGTATGGGGAACCTCAGTGAGGAATTGCAGAGACACAAAATGAAGAACATGCAGGTTCGTTCATTATCTATGTTGCTCCTACTCTTTATGTATTCGAACTACTCAGATCCTATACATGTTGGAAATGGGTATGGAGATCTAATCCTCCGTTTATATGAAAAATATAGTATAAATGAACCTAACCATGCCGAATACATATTCTTATCCAACACGAACATCTGAGTTCGGGAATATAGTCGTGCATATCCGATCACTTGTTTTGGTTGTAAATTGGTCTTTTGACCTAATGTCTGAAAATCAAGTTTATTTTACTTTGCGTGCAGTTAAAGAAACAATTAAATGCATTGGCCAACGACACAGAGTGAAGCTAAACAACAGTTGAATTGCCTGATTATTTCTCCATCGATGTTAGGGTTCATTAGATTTTAAAAGAGCATTTTTTTCTAGGTATATAGTAGTGTATTTGCTGCTGCTTTTTTTTCTCTAGTGTACACCGTGTGCCCGGCGCCTCTGAAGCTGGACTCCTGCAAATTTTGAGACGCTATTGCTTGAATCTCAGTCTCTGGTAACTTTGCTGTATTTATTGACCTCCATATTATATGTACATTTACTAGAATGTTAAAGCTGTATTTTCAGGTTAAGAAGAGCTTGTCTGATTTTATCTCGGTTCAGCACTTTTTAACGTCATTTTTTAGTTAATTACATCACACGCTATCAAATTAGGGTAAAGTACACAAATGATCCTCCGATTACAGGATGTTGCTTTGTTGAGTCACCCGACTACAAAAAGTTACAGAATGGTTCCTCAGCTATAGGATATGCTTTGTTGAGTTCCTCGATTATTAAAAGTTAAAAAATGATTACCTAACTATTAAAACATAATGAATAGTTTGATGACCATTTTGTAACTTTTAATAATCAAGAGAATCAATAAAATAACATCCTATAGTTGAGGGATAACTTTTAATAGTTAACAGACTCAACAAAGCAAAATCCTATAGTTAAGAGATCATTTGTGTACTTTACCTATCAAATTATAACTCTCATTTTAAATTAATCTTAAATTTTTGAATGGTACAATTTTATTGCTTAGCTATGGACCTTTATTATAAACTACCCCTAAGCTTCTGAATATTTACTTTTATTCTAAATAAATCTCAAAATTTTTAAACATTTTAATTTCACCCCTTGACTTTTATTCTAAATTTTTAAACATTCTGATGTGATCCCCTAATATATGACTTTTGAATGTTTCTATCAAATTATTAGTATACATCAATTAAATCTTCGCTTTATAAAATTATTATAAAAATTATTATCATATACACATCGATATATACAATATAATAATAATAATCTTTTAATAGTTTTAAAATCAACATTAATTTATATCACATCACATTATTATATTGTTTATAAAATAATTAATACTTTTTATAATTATTTTATTAAGGTCTTAATTAATATACACTAATAATTTAAAGAAAATTTTGAACATTTAATAATTTAGAAACTAATAAGAGTTGATGAAATTAGAATATTCAGAAATTTCAGAATCTATTTCTATAAAATTAAAACATTAAAAGGTTGAGAGATAAATTTAGAATTAGAATCTTAATTTAATAATTAAAGATGTAATTAAAATCCATTTTTATTAACAATTTGGAGGTAAACTCAACTAACTAGGGGCTTAACCAAAATTGAACATTGAGTAAAGCGAAAATTAACATTTTATGAGAGGTGATAAATTACATTGATACTATTTTCACTCTTTGTACCTCATGAAACTGAGTAAACAAGTTGTTCATATAAGAAAAAAAATTAAAGAATAAAAAAGAAAAACGAAATAATTTTAAATTTTTTGAAAATTTATTAAAATTAAATAAAAATGAAAAAAAAATCTTTCTTTCCAAAATAAACCCCAAAAAAAAATTAACAGCACCGGAAAGACTCAGAATGTTGTTATTTCTGCTCAAAGGAAAGCTTTAAAAAAGCTTTTCTCATACAACAGGTGTCATAAATTATAAAAAGGCACTATTCATCTTCGCCTTCTTATCGTTTTTAATTTCTTTCACTTACGTTTGTTTGGTAAGAAAGAAACAAAATGCACAAATGAAAATGAAAACCCAGAAAACAAGGTATAAAAAAAATGCAGGAATGATGTTGCCCGCGGCGGGAAGAGAATTAGGGTTTTACGTTTAAACTGTGAATTGCAAAGGGATGGTGGTTTTTTTTGCCCATTACGGCAAAAAAAAATACATTTAACAAACTACGGCAACTCCACTTTTATTTTGAGATCTTCGACATTTGTTTCAGTACAAGACGAATTTATCATCTCGAAGTGACGAGTTCTACAAGATATATTTTTTTATTGGTCCAACGTAAGTAGGCCCCACATGGATCATTATTTTAATGAATTTAACGGGACTCGTCATATATAGAAATTAATTTTATTGAAATAATTTGAAAAATTAAATGATTTAAAAAAACGGATGAACTCGTCGTCTCGAGGTGACGATTTCCTTTGAATTCAAATAAAGTAGTCGTTTATAGTCGTTGGACAATGTGCAACAGCAACAGTCAGCTGCCAACAGTCAATATGGAAATCGTCACTTCAAGGTGACGTGTTCCGCCTTATTTTTTTTAAACAAAAAGTAGCAGTTTATAGTTGTCGGGATTGAGGTTATAAATAGGAGTTTAGGGTTTAGAATTTTTACCATACATTGTTATGAAAAAAAATTTGAGAAAAAATGTTGTTTTTGAAGAATTCTCAAAAAATGTCTTCTCGACAAGAAATGTTACGCCTTGATAATGTCTATATTTCATCATTGAAACTCCGTCTGGAAGAAAAATATGGCATTCGTCAACGATGAATGACATTGGGAGATCTGTATCAACAAATCATTATATATCCATAACAATCAAGCATGTATCCAGTCATATTTCTCCATAGTTTTAAGGTGAAACCGACATTGATTGGGGATTTGATTGAACAGTAGAGGCCCAAGACGCATACTTTTCATTTTTCAGTGGTGAAGAGACAATTATGCTGGAAGATGTTGTTTACCAACTGAGTGTTCCGGTTAATGGGACGATTGTTGTGGGGTAGAATGAGTACAACCCATTCACTATTGTTCAGGAAACTTTGGGAAGACAACCACCAACAGAGGTCGTAGAGGGGTATCAGATACAAATAACTTGGTTGGAGTTCGAATTTCAAGTGACGAACGACTAAAACGAAGATGATGTCATATTTGCGGCCCTAGTGTATCTTCTCCAATTGATTGGAGGAATATTATTATCAGATAAATCTGGTAATTTGGCACACAATTAATATCTGCCTATATTGAATAATTTTATTGAGTGCTGTAATACTAATTGAGGCTTGACGATTTTGGCCTTTTTATACTATGAGTTATGTAAGGTGGCAATCGTCAGAATAGGCTAAAAAGTCGATGTAACTGGCTTTCTGTTACTGCTACAGTCTTGGGCATGGTATCAGTTACCATTTTTTACGCCAATTACATCAGCCCCAGTTGAGTTTCCTTTGACTACAAGGTAATTTGTAACTTCATTTTTAAACTAATTTTTTAATTTTATATTATTTAATTATTATTTTATTTTTATCTTTTTAGATGACACCATAAAATAACCGAGACCAAGTTGGTGGGTGCTACGAGAAAAGATATACGAATGAGGATCAATATCGCCGGTCGATATACGATAAATATTCAACTGCATTATATTAATTATTTCATTATTTTTTTGAAATTGTTCAACTTTATATATAATAACTTTTATAATTTATTTTCCCAGTTTTCTTGGCTTTCGTATTATGACGACGAGATCTACCGATTACTGCCACCGAGATTTTTTTGATGGGTCGGACTTATGGTGTGTTGTAACACCTTTATTACATGTCCCGATTGTTAAGGTGCATGATGTTGATAAAGTGTTGCTACAGTTTACGTCTCATCAACCTATTCCTACGTAAATATTTGAGATGGACGAGCTCTATAAAATTAATTAACGTGAAAAGCATAACGAAGATTGGTTGAGAAAGCACGATGTCTATATTGAGCAATAAAATAATCACCAATTCTCAATTCTCGTACGTTACGAGATTACACATATCTACCTAGATTTTAACCATTCTCCTTATCTCCGAAATTACGAAACAAATGGGAAACCATATCTCGTGACACTGAAAGAGAGATGACAATGTGAACAAGATAAGGCCAAATTTTCAAAGTTGAAGAAATTATTGTCATCATCTTCTTCCGCATCTCAAAATTATTATTTTGCATCTTAGGCAAGTTTTGGTTTTATCCTTCATATCATACTTCAACTGAGACTCAGCCGACTTAGATTGGAGGTTCATGGATGTAAAGCAAAACACTCAAGCATCTTCGACAGAATATGCAGGTGAGGGTGAATGAGAACATATCATATATGGTCAACGAGGTATCCAAGTCGAATCAGTGACAACAATTAAACATCCCATACTTTTGTAAAAGATCTCATGTATATTTATGTTGTCCCAGAAATAATCCTTCCTTTGTCTACTCCACTTTGAGTCCAAGAAAATGTTTCAATTCTCCAAGCTCATTCATATGAAATATGATAGAAAGATTTTCTCTTGTTTTTTTGGATCTCGTCATAATGATTTCTCGTGATGATTAAGCCATCCACATATACTAGCACTATGGCTAGTTTTCTTTGGTATTCTTTCACAAGTAAACTAGAATTTGAAGGATCAATTGTAAAATCACTTTGAATCAAGAACTCACTGATCTTCTCGTACCATGCTCTTGGAGCCTGTTTCAAGTCAGAGAGTGCCTTCTTTAACTTGTAGACATATTCGGGATGAATCTTGCTCTCAAAGCATCTTGGTTGCTCTATATAGATGTCTTTGTTAAGTTTTCCATGTAAGCAAATATTCTTGATGTTAATCTGCCACAACTTCTAAGACTTACTAGCAGCCAAAGCTAGTAAGACTCAAATTATTGTGATATTTTCCACAAGGCTAAATATTTATTCACAATCTAGTCCATATTATTAAGAGAAACCTTGAGCAATAAGTCGAGCTTTATACCTTTCAATGGAGTTATATAATCGAGTCTTCACATTCTAATCCCATTTACATGTATCTTCACATCTTTTGGCTTTGGAACTAAATCCCATGTCTGATTTTATTTAGTGCTTTAATTTCTTCTTTCATAGCTTTCTGTCACTCTAGGCTTATTGCTTCTTCATATGTGGAAGGCTCAATAGGTATAGATTCATCTACAAAGGCATCTTTAGCACACTTTGGATTAAGTTGTCTTGGTCTTGTTGATCTTCGTAGTTCTTGTGCGTGTTTCTCAAATTTCTTTTGTCTTGGATGAAGCTCCTCGGATGTAGGTTGATGTACACCAGTCTTCCATGAACTTTTTTTCTTGGAGGATCATCATTCTCCTTCTTCACTTGGATCCAATGTTTGTTCTTTCCCTTCTTAATTTTATTCTAGAATTTATTCTGAGCCATAAGATTTCGAAAAATCGATCTTTTGAGGTGACCACCATGAAAAAGCTTCAAAACAACAATTTTTTCTCAATTTTTTTCCGTAACAATGGATGGTAAAAATCCTAAACCCCTATTTATAACCCTAAATTCCAATGGTTATTTTTTTAAAAATAAGGTCGAACTCGTCATATCGAGGTGAGGAGTTCTATATTGACTGTTGGTAGTTGACCGTTGTTGTTGCCCATTGCCCAACGGCTATAAACGACTATTTTATTTGAATTCAAAGAAACTCGAGGCGACGAGTTCCACCATTTAAAAAAAAATCATTTAATTTTTTAAATTATTTCAATAAAATTAATTTCTCAAGAGACTCATCACTTTGAGGTGACGAGTCCCGTTAAATTCATTAAAATAATGGCCCACGTAAGGCTCACTTACGTTGGACCAATAAAATAAAAGTGGAGTTGCCCTAATTTGCTAAATAATTACTACTTTATAATTACACTAAACATATATTACTCATTCTAAATAATTGATTATTAATATGAAATTATATTCGAGATCTTAAAAACTCTTTCATTACTGAACCTATTAAGTGACTTCAGTAGAGGTGTTTATCGAGTGAGTCGATCACGAGTTGGGTAGTACTCGAATCGTGCTAGTTAAAATTTTCATTGCTTGACTCGTTACATGTTAAGTTCGTTAAAATTTTGCTTGACTCGTGCTCATTAAAAAAATTGTTGCTCAACTCGTTCGTTAAGCTCACCACAATTTTTACCTTATTTTTAACTAAAAGTAAAATCTAATAATACTATATAGATTAGTAATTTATCATTTTTTATTAATAAATTAGTATTTTTTTAATGGAATAAATTTTAAGATAACTACTAAAAAATTATTTTAAAAAATTAACTAGTTTCTCACGAATTTATTAAGTCGAGTTAGACTTTAGTCGACTCAACTCAACTCAACTCATTAAGGTCTTGAACGAGCTCGAGTATGGTCAATTGAGTCGAGCTTTAACTAAATTTTGATCAAGTCAAATTCGAAATGTTTATGAGCTACTCAACTCATTAATTACTCTTAAACATTGGTAGTTAACGAAACATTATTTTCTTTAGAGATTTTGAATTCAAATAATTATATTGTCAATAATAATAAAAAAAAATTAAATAAATACTATATCTTAAAATTACTCTAAGCTATTAAAAAAACTCGGTGATTACCGACATATATTACTTCAGTATATATGTTAAAATTAAAACAAAACTAAGAAATACTCATAAGAAAACTTAAAATAACTGGAAAAAAATTGAAAAAGCCAATACACGTGCTTCAATCTCTTTCTTTAGTAGAACAAACTGCAAAAATACTTGTACCCCACCAGACCGTCAAAAGTAAAATAGAGCTAAATTGTTTCTTCTCGAAGAAATAAAAAACTTAAATCAGCGATTCTAGCATCTTCCGCTTCGACCAGACGCCGTCAGGTACTTAGATTTCCATAAATGCTCTCTTCAGTTTCCCAGATCTGAATTTAACTTTTA